AGCATTGACAGCCAGGAGAAAATGAGGGGGAGGTGGGCCCAGAGGAGGCCCCAGCTGGCAGAGCAGGGTGGCTGTCATCCCTATAGCTCCGAAGAGAGGACGGGTGCTTAGATCACATATTTTTAATATATTTTTTTATTGACTTCAGAGGGAGGGAGGAAGGGAATGAGAGAGAGGAACATCAATGATGAGAGAGAATCATTGACTGGCCTCCTCCTGCACGCCCCCTACTAGGGATCAAGCCCATAACCCGGGCATGTGCCCTGACTGGGAATCCAACTGACCTCCTGGTTCATGGGTCGATGCTCAGCTGCTGAGCCATGTTGGCTGGGCTAGATCACGTATTTATGACATGGTTGATGTCACTGCAACTTGAGAGAAGCCTGAGGAAGTACTGTCTTAAGGTCAAGAGAGATGACTGACTGAGCAGTCCTGGACCACACTAAGGATGATTATCCTTACCAGTTTGTGGTACTTTACAATTTGCAGGGTGCTTCCTTCCACACATTCTCTCATTTGCTAGAAGGCAGCCTGACAAAAGGGAGTCCCCAAAGTGCTCTGTGGGATCTAAGGAAATCCTGCTCCTAAGTGCAAAGGGAACAAAGAGCTGGCCTGTAGCCACACTGTGCTGAGACTCTTCACAGCTGCTGTCCCTCCTAGAGGAGACACAGGTGAAGAAAATAAGCCCCAGCAACTTAGAACATTGAAGGCAGACATCCCCTGATTAGAAGCTCTGCTTTGACCTGATGGCTGGAGCCCCATCTTCACACAACATCCACACTGGGGTCTCTCACCAGTTTTGCTGCTGACAGCACAGCTCATGGCACTTCAGTTTCCTCCTCTGTAACAGACCTTAAGTTACAGGATTCATAGGATGATACTCATAACTACATACAATATCTGTTCAGGGGAAAATGTCCAACTTTATCCTAAGGTGGGAGTTCTTTGAGAAATTAGCTAATGAACGCAAAATCTTTACCCAAAACAAGTGTGGAAGCTCTGCTCAAGGATGACCCTCATAATGGATGCAGGAGAAAGTGGGAGTTGAGCTAGAGGGCTGGGAAGAGACTAGAGCAAAAAAGGATGGGGCTCCAGCAGAGGGTCAGTACTGAAGACAATGGAGCCCTTTCCATAGGGACAAGGCCTGCCTGGTAACAACCACTAGAAGCCCAAGATGTCAGAGAACCTTGAAGAAATGAGCTGAGTGGGTGTTGGAAGAGCTGTTAACTTTCTCAAGGCCACCCAGCAGGAGTGCTGGGGTGCCTGGCCAGACATCTGGGTCTTGGCAGTACTCAGTCACATTGTCTCTCCAAGTTTTGTCCTTCATCTTTGTTTTGACCTAGGATTGTATGGGTTTGATTCTATGAATCCTTTTATCCATTCAGTCATTTCCTTGTCACTTCTCGGACATTTAATTATCACCGCAAATAACTTTCTGGAGCTCAAAATCCAATTTCCCCTCAAAAGCCTCTTTCCCCATCTCTTCCAAGAAATAGCAGAACTGACTCCTGTAGACCTCAGTTCCTCCCCAACGAACAGGGTCCAAGTGCACGAGCCTTGCCAGAGCACAGAAGGACCTCAGCGGGACTTGCTTTGCACAGCTGTGCCCAGTGTCAGGATGATGCCACTGGTGCTTTGCACATTTGGCCGGATAAATTACCTGCCTGCCCTATCCCTCCCCTGTTACTGACACTCTAACCAGAAGTATCTAACATACTTCGAAGGACTGGAAAGGGGGTGGTTTGAGAAGAAGGGTTCAGACCTGCCTGCTCGCAGTGAAGAGCATGAGCAAGAGGATGTTTCTTGACTGGCCTTCCGGTGCCCACAGTCATCCTCCTTAGGATGGTCCTTCCTCCATCAGGCCTTGGCCTTTCTCTCTTGCTCATCTTTTTCTCTGTCCCCGTGTGTTCCTGCCACGAGTTTCCTGAATGCACCACAACCCTGTGTCTTTGCTCACACTTTATTTTCTGCCCATAAATGCCCTCACTGCCACCCCATCTTGCTTACCTGGAAGACTCCTCTCAATATTTTGACTCGATTCAAGAATTCTCCCTCCTGTATGGATGGAGCTGGAGAGCATTATGCTAAGCAAAATAAGTCAGTCAGAGAAAGATAAATATCACATGATCCCACTCATTTGTGGATTATAATGAACAACATAAATTGATGAACAAAAACAGATCCAGAGACAGAGAAGCATCAATCAGATGCTCAAACCTCAGAGGAGAAAGAGGGGGTAAGGGGAGAGATCAACCAAAGGACTTGTATGCATGCATATAAGCATAACCAATGGACACAGACACCAGGAGGGTGAGGGCATGAGTGGGGGGAGGGGGTGGAAATTGGGGTGGTAAGGACACATATGTAATACCTTAATCAATAAAGAAAGGAAAAAAAGGAATCCTCCCTCTTTGAAGGCTGCCTTTCCTGAAGCATCACTTGTCTTCCCTCCCACCCCAGAGGTTGAACTGGCATTTCCATCTCTTGTGTTCTATTAGAC